GCACACCATAAATCTGACGAAGACTTTTTCTTAGGACCTTTCTCAAGAACAAATTTAAGAAAAAACTTAGAAAGTTATTGGTGAATGAGGCCCATTGTGCTCTTTAGTATGACCTATTCTACTGCCATTGTTTGTCTGTGGAGATTGCATGGCTATGTTCTTGATCTTTTACATCTGCTAGCAATAAGTCTGACTGAAATACCTGAACTCAGTAGTTAGGAGGGGTGCCTACATACTTTTGGTCATAAAGTATATACAGCACCAGAAAGGGTTCTGTGATTGTTACAAGTCAAAAAAAATTGTTGGTACTATATAGAGCCTTTTTTGCTAAGAGTGTAGCTTTTCCTAATTCACAAGTCTGCACTGAAAGATGTTTTACTACTTTGGGTCATGCCGGAGCGATGAGTCGTGTAACTCTTTCTAAAGACAGTATCAGTGCATCAGTAGCAGAAGGACGTGTCATGCTGAAGATAGAATCAGAAGAGCATCCCCTGCTTCCATATTCTCTCCTCTTCCTCTGTTCGTGGGCTGTTGCTAAGAAACCGGCTGTCTGCCACATAGTACCTCACACATCCTCAGCACACACCAGTTTCACACCCTCTGCCTGGAGAGAGCATGTACCTTCCCCCTGCAACATACATACACACACACGTACACACGCACACACACACGCACACTCATTCCCTCATACTTTACAAGGTTGAACCGCCCCTAAAGAGAACCATACAATCCTCAGTGCCTCAAAGAAAGCCGATCACACCTAAACAACAGTTATCAGTTGGAGGTGTTATGTAGTTGCTGTAGATTATTTATTTGTTTGTTTGTTTACTTGTTTATTTATTTATTTCTATTCCCATATGGATGTTATCTGACTCAGTCTGAGAGCATCTATTTTTAAAGACTCCTTTACATTCATAGAGCTTCATCATTTAGCAATATCTCTACTAAGGCTGTCACTATTATTGAATTACATGTATTTTTAAAAAAATATTATTAAATCTACTGATCTACACATATCCATATACATTTTTTTTGTTTAAATATACATACATAAATACTATCGTGTGCAAAAGTTTGCGCACTCCTGTTCAAATTAGGTTAAATGCTTTGGCACATTTTGTATTTTATCCTTTTTTTTAAAACTAATCTAATTAATTTTGACAACCCCATACTGTGAGATGTTTCTCAGACTCAAACTTGGTGAATCTCTGTGAGAAGACAAGAGCTAATCTGCTGTAAGCTCCTTTTCAAACTAGCAGCCTTGCAGCTTTATCGGCTGCCTCAACCTGACAAGTACATCTCCATCTCAGACCTATGAGAAAAAAGAGCCTGCTGTCATTCCCCTGAAATGAAAATTTGACCGGTGGTGTCCTTGGGGACTGCTGGATATGAAAGGACAAAACATCTTTTTTTCACTATTGCTTGAACTGTGCTGTTTTACTTTATCCATGACATTTTATCTTTCCAGAATTGTGTCAGCACTTTTAGATTTATATTTTTATGTTTATTTATTTACTTGTTTACTGAGAAATTTTGATTTATATCTGCTCTAGATATAAGGTCTTTGTTTACAACTGTTTATAACTACTGATCTTGGCAGTGAGTGCCAGTAAAACACTATTAAATTAGAAAAAATACAAATAAACATTAATACATAAAAACATAGTAACATAAATTCCACGTTTTTATAATAAGTATTTGTATCCTGGTTAGAAGAATTCACTTAAAAGAACACAGGTTTGGTTCCTGCTGCACTCCAGTCATTGAATTTGTTCAACTCCATCAGCAGCACACCTGATTGAATTTCATGAAGGGCTGATTAGACAAACTGATGATGGTTAATGTAAATACTGAACTTTGGACATGGCTAATGTAACACACCCCCACACAGTGTATTGTTTAGTTTGTACATATTCTAATGTTAGTGAGTATTTTCTCAGATTGCCTAGGACCTTTGCACAGTATTGTATATTTAAAGTGATATTTAGGAGATTAGGTCACTTTAGTTGATATTGATATCACTGAAATGAGGACCATGTGCTTTGTATTTTTCATGTCTTCCTCAGTTTTTACTACCTTCCTATTAAGTTTTGCTTTGACTACAAGGTCTTACACTGAGACCTTAAGGCCCTACACTCTTAAAAACAATGGTTCTTCAAGGGTTCTTTACTAAAGAAAATGGTTTTATATAGAACCATGATTGCTCAATAAACATTGTACATGGTTAAAGGGTTCTTTCCATCATAAAAGGTTTTTCAGGTTGACAGAGAATGTGTTGTAGCTCGTTCTATATAGAACCTTTCTGAAACGTTTTCTAGGTAGTAGACAAAATGGTTCTTTTATTGTTACAATGTCTAGCTTGTATCTGTAGAAGAACCCTTTTGGGTGCTATACAGAACCCTTTTCAAAAGGTTGTACATACACACTTAAAAATATGGTGCTTCAAGGGTTCTTTAGTAAAGAAAATGGTTCTATATAGAACCATAAACACTCAAAGAACCCTTTGCATCATTAAAGCATCCTTTGCATGGTGAAAGCATTCTTCAGATTGATGGAGAATTTGTTGTCTTCAGTTCTATATAAAACCCTTTTTGAAAAGAGTTCTATATTGCACTAAAAATGGTTCTTCTATTATTACAAGCTTGACATCATTACAATAAAGTACCTCTTCTTTTACTAAAGAACCCTTGAAGAACCATTTTTTTAAGAGTTTAGAACTATCTACAGGACATTCTCCATCAATCTAAATAATGCTTTAAAGACAAAAAGACCCTCTTAATCATGCAAAGGGTTTTTAGTGCATTCATGGTTCTATGTAGAACCATTTTTCTTTACTAGAGAACCCTTGAAGAACCATCTTTTTTAAAAGCATAGCTCCTGCGTATCTTGCCAATCTCCTGAGGCATTATCTGTTGCAAACCCCTAAGATCACTTACAGCTCAGTTTGTGAAAGAGTCTGTTCTATAACTCCTGACCTCTGCTACACAATATTAAGAATGTAAGTTCAATAAGCTTCTTAAAAAAGATATCTGTTCAAGCAAGCGTATGTTTAATTGGTCAGTTTTTTCTATAGTTTAAAATTATGCTAGTATTTCATTTGAACCATGACAATTTATCGCTCTTTAAAAAGATTAAACTTCAAACAGTCTTATAGCTGCAGTTAATGGAGAACTTATAAGACAGTTTAGCTCTTGCATGTTCATGGGAGAGTTCCTCCTGTCCTCCACTGCAGTCTCCTCTCGTAAGAGGAAATAGGTCATGCAGCAGGTGACCTGTGTGATGCACATTGTTTACAGTATGACACACATTGCCTGTGCCTCTTTTCCGCCCTGAACTATCTGCCTTAACTGTTGCTCAACTGAGTGGCATTTCATTTCCTAGTCAAAAAAGGTAGCCGTTTCTTTTTATTCCAACTTAACAGTGGATTAACAGTCTCTGTGAGAAGTTTCTCAGTTTAGGAATAATGATAATGGCAGTTCTTCAGAAAAAAGCTGCAGGTTTTCCTCTCCTCTCTGTTTTTAACATGCCCTCCTCAACTTGCCCCCACCATTTCCTCTTGGGGAAACAGCCATTTTAAGAGCTGTTCCTTTACTGTGTTAGCTCAGGTGAAGTTTGTTGGGTGACCCTTTTGAGGGACGGGTTATCACTTAACAAGAATCCAGCGGCAGACCTTGCCCAGAAATCTTGGTTTCTTTACTCTGCTAGCTGGCTAATTAGCAAGCAAACATAATACAGCAACAACAAAGAAAAGAGACATTTGCACTGTCGTTCTTTAACCTGAACAAACACAAGACAAAGCAATTATTGACAAAGTTTTTGTGTGTTATATTGGACTCAATAATTGTTTGCATTATAAAGAGTGCTTAGCTAGACCTCACTAAGATTAGCGTAGTCTAAGCAAGTGTGTTCTCATAATTAAATTTGCTAATCGTTATTCTGTCCTTTCCTTATTCTGTGAGTTGCCCCTTGTGTAATGTAGAAAACAGTACTAAGACAGAGACCTTGACATCCTTTAGCAACCATTATAAACTCCCACTGCAGTTAATGGGATGTCTCGTGAAACAAACACTTCATCATGACCCAGATGTGAATTTGGCAATAAAGTGGGTAGCTATGTGATTTTCAGTTACTGAGATGTGTGTAATGTGTCACGAAAGACATAGAACACTGATGCTGAGCTTATCACTCATGTTCACCATTGAGGAGACTGTTCAGTTCATTCCTCAAAAGAGTTCAGGAATGCTAAGATTAATAACTGGCTAATCACATTGATTTATCAGTCTACTCAGGCTTTACCAGAGCTCACTAACACTGAGATTAATAACTGACCATCACATCAATTTATCTGTCTATTCAGGCTTTAGAAGAGCTCAGTAACACTGAGATTAATAACTGGATCATCACAGTGATTTAAGCAGGATGTTATTTATTTTTGGTTCTCTTTTTGAGTACGTCTTGACAGGCCATGCACTGATTCTAAAATAGTTAATAAATAAGTATTGAAGGTGTTCATTTAAAGTTGTTTGATTTAGTGGGTAAGCATTCTAACAGTATTCTCAGAAAAATATAAAAGGTAACTGTATCCTGAATACTGCCTTTACAAAATGTAACTTGGACTGAATACAGATCTTTTAATTCTGTATTCTGAATATGCATTTTAGATACTAGTCTAAATGTAGGATCAGTGGTATAGTCTACTCTAAAGACGTTGGGGGGTGTACTATAAGTATATTTTAAGGCAGAAGGCCGGTCATTCTGAAAGCTTATCAGAAGTGGCCAGGCCTAGTTACAGTGGTTACGATTGGAAAATCAGAAGAAGGGATATATCAGGGACTAATTTATTATCCCTTTTTTCAGTTTGGGTTACAGTTGGGTTACAGTATTAATTTAGAACTTTTCTTTCTGATGTCAAAATTGCACATACATTAATTATGTTTGCATTGAGAAAGAACAATGACAGTGAACTGAAAATGCAATTTTGTTTTATTGTCAAAATTGTGGAGCTGACCAACAAAGCAGCAGAGATATCGTCTCATATGCCCCTCTTATGCCCTAAGAGGGATCTATGCTATAAAGACAGGCCTTCTGCAGTCCTCGCCAGTTTCTGTGCAAAAAGAAAAATGTTTAATTTGCATATAAGCATGATTTTCCCATCTGTTCAAGATTTGGTATGGTACAAAATTAACAAACTAAAATCTTATTGAAATGTATACAGAGTAAATTGTATAATGTGATGTTAAATACTTACAGCACTTGTAGAGTCTGTTGAGTCTGTTGATGTCATTTTGGCTCATCTGAGTTGCCTGGCCAAAAGATACGTTGCTGTTGGGAATGGGGACCATGGTGGGCTTGCCGTTTTTAGAGAAAGCAGTTCTGAAATAAATAACACAAACACAAAAGAAAGTCAATCATGTTTTCACTTCTAAATTTCACAGATGTGTACTCTGGACACTGAGCTGATAAGTACAGTTTTATACTGAGTCACTGACTTGTGGTACTGCATGACGGAGTTGTAGTCGTAGGGGGTTCCCTGGTTCAGGGTGGCGATCTTGTTGAAGTTGTGCTTCATGCCTGATGAGTATGAAAAGATACGTAGCATCTAAAAAGACCCTCACTAACAACAACAACATGCATTTAAATATAGGTGTGTTATTATATTAACATGAGGTTGATTTTTAAATAATGGAACTGTACTGTCAACAATGTTTTCCCAGACAACACGAATGTGATTGTCACGGTCACTGCGGGTCTGTTCATGGTTGAAGCCCAGGGCGTGGAGCAGCTCATGCTGGACAGTTTTGTGGTAGATGCAGCCACTGCGGGCCAAAGACACTGTTTGGGCGTTACCACGGCGACCAACATAAGAGTAGCATCTGTCAAGTAAAACAGAAAGTGAGATTAACTGCAAAAATTATTTTCATCTAAACCTAATACTGGCATGTTGTTCCTTAATGCTGTTTAAATTGGTATAGAACCTGCTGTTGTGCTGTTGCATCTGCAGTAGGACAATTAGCTACACCTCTGACCCGCAAAACCATAAAGGATTATAAAAAGTGTTCAAATCTGAAGTTTCTCAGCCAATTTCCATTCTGGGCATGATGGTGGAAATTGTGGAGGGCGAATGGGATGAGGTCTGCTGCTTATATGTACTGATTTTGAACATCCCTAATCCTGTATCACTGTTACAGCTAGTAGAGTAGTATCTAGGAATAGTATCTAGGAAAACCCTTTTATGTGAATAAGCTAGTTTGCTTAATGATTTACTTTAAATGGAACTGTGTTAACCCCTTAGATAGCCAGGGCCCATCCGCAGGCCCAAAGTTTTATAACACACTTCTGTAATCAAAAAATAGCTCAACCAGTTTCAATGAAGTACCAAATAATAAGCCTTAGTCTGTGATGTAAGTCTGGAAATTTAAGGGGTTAACTGCCATATTCATTCATTTGATGCACCAGTTGACTATTGTAGTTTATTTTATTTGTGTAGAGTGTTGCCTCACTAAATAACAGAGGCTATATGCTAATGTTAACTGGGTAACTAGATAGCTAGCCAGCAATTGGACTTAGAAAGTTCTTAATTTGTAGTTAAGTTACCTTTGTGCTGTCTTCTATTGCCACTTATAGAAAATTAGAATGGGTTCTTTATTTAAGAATTTATGTCTAAGAACTGTTTGGCCAGAACTAGGTAACAGAGAATTGCTATGCAAAGTGAATAAAAGTCTGTGAGAAAAAAAGCGGACCCTTCCAAAATTCACCATATAATTTGCAACTTCATAGCAATGAGGGTACATTTTATCAGGCCAGTCAGGACCGGGGAGATGAGTTGGAAGATATGTGCTTTGCTGAATGGAGGGTAAATCGTTCAACAACTATTTTGTTTCATACAAACTATTTGTTGTACACATGTGTGTCACTGGCTTCCACTGTATTTCAGGAGAATGATTCACCCTTCATTCAGCAAAGCACACATCCTCCATTTAGCCTTTCCTGTCCTGCCATTCCTCCTAACTGAGTGTAACTGCAATGTATACCCATTGCGAGACTCAATGCTGAGGTAATCCCTCTCATTGGAGCGGCGCTTGAAGCGGATGCAGGACATGGAGGAGAAGGAGTCCAAACCACGCTGGATGACCTGGACCTCACGGGAGGCTGAGGATATAGAGGTGAGATGTTAAAATAATACTACATTAACAGAACAGAAACAAGATTCCTGTATATCACTGACATACAGTAGTGGTTGGCGATGACGTAGGGCACATAGACTTTGCCGTCACTGGACTTGGGCCACATGCAACCGCGGGAAGTGCAGGGATCAGCATTCCTCCCACTGTCACTGTCAACAGCAATGTCTCCTTCAGTCAGCTCAGGCTCATCAAAGTCAGGAGCTACCATACACAACAGAGAAATTACATACCTGAAGTTCAGATCCTTTTATACATCATATAACTGCTGAGTTTAGTTTACATTTAAAACACACACACAGTTTTGGTCTATTGTCTGATGAATATACGTCTCAAACTTCTGGCCCACAGATGATGCCTGGCCCACAAGATCAGCTGTCATGTGTGTATAGTTTATCCTTAAATCCAGCCCACATATCTATTTTTCATTTTCTGCTTTTGGGTTTTGCAGCAAAAGTAATTGCAAAGCTTTTATGGTTTTTTTTTATATTTGACTATGTAGTAGTTAGATTGTGTAGTGGATAGCCCCATTGCCCCACACACAGAAGAGTGGGGTTTGATTCCCTCATTCGGACAGGAATGCAACTGCTATACCAATATAATTTTTTAATTCTTTTTGGTTTACTTATCTGTTATTCATAACGCAAGTCTAATAACATGGATTATTTCTTGTATGATGCTTTAATTACTCCGAAAGAAATAGTTCAATCAAAAGATCAATTAATCTGGATAGTCTGTTGCCTATGATCTTTCTGAGCATTCTTAGTGGTGTTGTTGATTTATGTTTATGTTGTTGATTTATGAATGTTTTTATTCTAGTTTTCATTAGATCTCTTTGCCAAATGCTATTTTTGTATCATAGCATACTCTCATTTAAGTCCTCAGAAATGGGGACTCTTGTTTTATCCGAGCTATTCGTTGATTATTGTGTAATAAGCTTGAACCTAAGTAACTTTGTATTTTTTAATGAGTAAGTTTGCATGATTCATTTTAGTTATGAAATTAAAGTTACAGTGAGTAATTGTCAAAAATGTTATATACAGTAGTCATGTTATATAAAGTACATACAATGTACTGTATTATGTTATACACAGTGTGTGTTAAGTACTGTAGTCACAGTTTTCAACCAACCCCAACTCTCCCTTTGAATTTGAGGCTCTTGATCAAATATGTAAAATACAAAAGCTTTTTATGAACAATGTCATAATATGCTGCTGATAACAGTTCATGAATGTATATTATGCTGCTCAGTTTCAGGGTTATTGTGTTTTTGTGACGGTCAGTGTGTGTTTGTGTGGGTACATACTGATGTCTCTGTTGGCTCTCTCGAGCAGCTCTCCCACAGACAGCTCAGCAGAAGCGTCCTGAACAGCTATGGGGAAACGCCATCATTTACAGTTGTTCGAGAATCATAATTCGCTTATTAAGTTCTGTGTTGACTGATCATTATACTTCATTACATTTTTGTTATTAAACGCTTAATCTAAAGTGCATGACTTACCAGCCTACAGGAGGAGTCACATGTGGCATATGAAAAACAGAGAAAACACATTGATTTATTACATGTTGAAAAGAATAATAAAGATGAATAGAGCAATGCATGTTTAATGCATTACAATAGCCTTGCTGTTGCCTCTTGAACCTGTAAATGAGCTGTATGCAGATATGCAATTGTTTTCATACATTATGAGGCAATTATTACAGAACATGTCCTGACTTTGCAGGAAATCCAGAGGAAAATCAGGGGTAACCTGCCAACAAATGGATTTCTGCAAATCAAGCAAAAAAGCTGCTGGTGTTCTCAGAACAATGTGCTGACCACCCCTCAAGTCCAGACCTCAACATTGCTGAATGTGTTTGGGATTACTTGGATCATGAGAAGCAGAAAATGCAACCAACTTCTAAGACTGAACTTTGTGGAAACATATCCCTGCAAAGTTCTTTAAAAAACTGAATACAAGTCCATGAAAACATGGAAACTGTTATAAATAAACTGTTACAGTTTAAGGAAATAAAAGGGGGTCTCTGATTCTGACAATTTTTTATTTTTTACTGAGATTAAGGTCAGGACTAGGTTTAGAGTCAGAAAGCTCTTATTATACATGGGTGCTTACATTAACATCGAACGTATATCACCTCTCGCCCTGACTTTTTTCTTTTTTTTTCTTTGCTGAGTTTCACAAAAACTAAAACAGAAAATATAAAATCTCCCATAACTTTTGCACAGACGCATTTTATTCATTTATTTCTCCCACATATGTTAAATTCAGCAAATAAACAGTAATTATAAGTTATAATATGCAGAAGTTTGTTCTCTGTAAAGGATGTGTAACTAATTTTCACTTAGAAAATCAATAAAACATGTAATTTGTGCTCCTACACTTTTACATTCAACTGTATTTGTATATCTCACCTCCTCAGCTCGGACAGAGCAGACCAGCAGCAGGGCCAGCAGACCCACAGTCACCTTACAGACCAACATGATGGATACTGACCTGGAGGGAGAGCCAGCAGACAGAAACATTAATGTACATCAAATATCAAAGCCAGTCAGTTCAATGATGAAACACGGTGTGTAAGTTATTACTGGACTGCATGAAAGTTCAGTTACAATGAACAACTGGGATCAACAAATCTAATCATTCTGTTTGAGGCATGACAGAAATAAATGAATGGCACTTTCTAGTAGAGTGGGAGCTCTTACCTTCCAAGGGGGGAATGAAGTGTACAGTGGCAGACAGAGAGAGGGGTTTTATACTCTTTTCTGTGTACCCAACACGATAAGCATGTCACATATGTAGAATAGGAGCTGCTGACTCCTAAAAAAACACTTATCTGTAAACCTGAATGTACAGAAAGGCAGTTCTTATGAAATATGTTAACGTATAGCAGTACTTTATCAAGTTTAAATACATATAGCCTTGCTGTACTGAAAGCAGGTGCCGTTTTTCCCCTCATTGGTACACACTGGTTTCCAATAAGGGTCACATACGTCACTGTAGAGATAATCTTCACATGAACTCATCTCAAAAGTCACATGTGTCTTCTGGATTTATTCCTCATTTATCTCAGCTCTTTGGACTTTGTTAAAATAAAAAATGCTTTTGTTGCCTGGGAGCTTGACACTTTATTTCTGATGGACTCATAAGTTTCCATAGGTTTTCCTTTAACTTTATTAAGTATTGGGTGGCATGGCCACTGGCCAGTCACAATCACCTGCATCATATATATATATATATATAAAACCCCTTAAATGGCCAGGGCCCACCAGCGAACCCAAAGTTTTAGTACACACTTCTATCACATAAAAATAGCTCAGGCAGTTTGCATTGAAGTCTCTGTAGTTACTGAACAATAAACATTAGTATGTGATGAGCCTCGAATTTTAAGTGGTTAAAAGAGTTTCTCCCCTGACCTCCACTTTGGTCTCCTCTCTGAGGAAGAAGGTCATGCAGCAGGTGATCTCAGGCTGTCCCAGTCCTTTTCTGGATGTGAAATGTTAACAGTATAAATATAATTGTGTTTTTATAATAAACCTTGGCCCGGTTTTTGTTTGTGGTGCTAGAGAAACATAAAATGTCATTAAAAAACAGGAAGGTCTTTTTTAATAACTTTTTGGATGCATAGCTCACAGGAAGAATTAACTCTGAGAAGTCTTTAAGGAAAAGCATGTCTATGTAAAATAAAGAGATTTTAAAATTAAAATAACATCATTCTTGCAAATTTCTATATACCATGTAACTTTTGAAGTAAGTTGCAAAAGACTACACTGTAAAAAAAATCAGATGTCAGCCTAACTTAAAATTACAAAGTAACTGATTACGCTGCTTTTCTTGAGTTAACTCATACTGAGGACAGTCAAATGTTCTCCAAACCCTCATTTCTAGTTTTTTCAGTTAAGTTATGTTTTCTCCTCTTAGGCTTAAGATACAGCTGTGGGATCACTGGGGTTCAAACTCGCAATCTCCTGATGTTGGGGTAAATTCTTAGAACAGTGTACAACATTCAGTGTTATTAATACACTATTTTTTAAAGTTAAAAAAGTTTACAGTTTATTAAACATTAAAAGACACAGACATCTAAGCAGTTTCTGGAGTTTATGAGTGATCCAATGAACTAAGCATTCACCCCATTCACCCCCATCAAGAGGTTGTGAGTTTGAAAGCCAGTGATGCCACTGCCATCCATAATTGGCAGCCCAAGAGGAGAGAATGCCTGGTGGGATTGTGTGATGGAAAGAGTTCCAGCTAGTGGTACGGAGGGGACGGAGGTAAAAAAAGATAATTAATCGTTGTCATGTTTCACTTTTAACTGAACGCACGTTTATTTTTTGGATTCGTGCGCAAAATCAATGTAGTAGATACAGGTGTTATTTGTCCTGTGCGTAAGTAACAGCTCCCTGACACTGTCTGACGGGTTTTGATGAGTTAGACTGACAACCACAATCTTCACTAAACTACACTTTCTGATGATCATATTTAACAGAGATAGAGACGCAGCCCGGCCGCTTAGCGCTGTTTCTGCTCCCGCGACAAGCTGCGGTGTTAGAGACCATCACACAATTACAGGAAGAAATGGTCAGCGTCAATTTGTTTCAACACACTCAAATTAAACACACACAGAAACATTCATGTGGGATGAGGTCAAGTGGCGAGAGAGTTTAATAGATCTATGGATTAGATATAGATATGTTAATGTGAAGATGTTGAAACGCTGATCATTTCGTCCTGTAATTGTGTGATGGTCTCTAACATCGCAGCTTGACGCGAGAGCAGAAACACCGTAGACCGTTTGCTGTGAAGAGGAACTGCAGTTTCCTCGTAACCCCTCCAAATCAAAACCAAACCTGATGAGCATCTCTGTTCATTATCTCATCAATCAAAACCCGTCAGACAGTCTCAGGGAGCTGTTATCAAAGTACAAACAACATGCATTCAGTTAAAAATAAAACATGACCACGGTTTAGAGAAAACAAGAGAACGATTTAAGAAATCGTGACCACGAATAAAAGAAAACGTGCGTACGAACTGCAAAACGCTCGCTCGAATTAATTATTTTTTTACCTCCGTCAGATGCAGAAGGTTGCAGGATGCAGATGCAGAGTTAGGAGAACTTTTAACTAAACTAAGGAGTTTGAGCTAGGGGAACTCTTGTGTCCTCAATTGGAGTTAACTCAAAACAGCAAAACAAATGAAAGAATCTCTCTCTCTCTCTCTCTCTCTCCCCCTCTCTCTCTCTCTCTCTCTCTCTCTCTCTCTCTTTATATATATATATATATATATATAGGCCTCTCTTAGGTTGAAGCTTTATCATTTAATGCTTTTATTTTTCTCTATGTAAAGCACTTTGAATTGCCACTGCATATGAAAGATGCTATACAAATAAACTAGCCTTGACGAGTGCCAATATATATAATAAAGACAGCAGTGGTCCTAGTGGTCCAGAGCCTTGTGGGACACCATACTCTACATTAGTACACTGATCACATACACTGATAGCCATTACCTGGATAGGATCTGCCTCAGAAGAATGTCATTCCTGTAATCCAACATTTTCTACTTGTGCAATATTTCAATCCATAGTGTATTCCACACTAAGGTTATGTACGATGCAGCTCTGGTAGTGAAGATGTAGTTCTGGTAGGAGGACAGTAATATAATGTTTACTATATTCTGCAGTGTTGTTCCTGTACTGTGGTGAAACCTAAATCCTGAACATATGCAACTCTTATGCATGTAGCAACTTGTTTTCATAGACCTTAAACAGAAAAGAAAGATTTAACATGAGCTTAAATTCCCAGAGACTGGTGTTAGCTTTCTCAGTCAAGCCACTAATTTGAGTGATTTAATGGTCAGAGGATGAGGGAAAAATCTGCCATGAAAAATAATTGTAATAATAAGAAGAATACTAATTAAGTAACAATAATTAATACCTTTAGAATAACATGGACCTGATCTGGAAAACCTTTTGAGACAATGTCAAAATATATCAAATATCATATATATAATATGTCAAATATTTCAGCATAGTGCTAAAAGTTATTGCTCAAAAATTGATTTATTTTGAAAGGTTAAATTAATATTGAAAAATATTTTGTTGTAAATTAGTTGTTTGTTTATATTTGTAGCAAGTTGTTTGTTCATTTTTGTGCAGGAGGAGGTCCAGGAGGTCCAGTCATAACATACGTGCGTCAGAGGGCGATGTAAAACTGTTCCACTAATTTATTCTTGTTAATAATTGAGTGTTGTTAAATAGATGAACTAATGTACCTCTCTGCTGTTGTAATACTTTAGCTGGAATATGATATATACAGACTATTCTAGCAAATTCATTTAAAGGAGTGTTTAATTATGAAATTAAAAAAAAAGTTTTGTTCATAAAATATTGTCCCACATTTTCATGTCAATCCTGAAACTAAAGAGTTTTAGTCCATAGGCGGAGCATTGTTTTAGCCACACTTCTGTATTTCAGGGCAGAAAGTGAGACTACATCTCTGTTTCTCATGGCCACATGGTGAGCAGTTAGATCCCACTGTTTTGAAGTAAATGTTTGAGAATCAGTGTGTAACATTAAGAACTGTCACTACAGACACACATATGTTCTTTTATTACAACTCTAGTTTGGAGGTTTATATGCTCAAACACACGTTGTTGCACGCATCTGTTAATTGCCAGGTTAAATGGATGTGTCTGGGTGGGGAAACCTCCAAACTGTGCTGTACGCCGGCCCTCCATGACCATAGTTGTGCATCCCTATGTTATTAAGTACACTTTTTTGGGGTTTTAATGAATAATATTATGATTTTTTGCATGTACAACTGTTAAAAGCTGGGTTTGTTAGCCATGTACTGTCTAGCATTTTTGCGATATGCTCAAAATTAGTCATGGTCGGTAGTCACAGTCACTACCGAAACATTTGGTAAGGTTTCAGAAGTGTTATTATTGTTTTAGTAGTGACAAAATGGATTGTTTAATTGTTTTAATTAAAATAAACAGAATTAGTGTCAAAGCAGAAGGATTTTGTTCTGAAGCTGAAGTCATTTAAAGTCAACTCTGACTTCGAACCAAATGGATAGAATGATATACTCTTGAACATTGTGCAGCTATTGTAAAATAACTGTTCTTTAGATGCATTGGTTCACTTATGATCAGTTCTTTGAATGTCATTCAATGACGAAAAGGTCATACCACATGACATTATGAAGTAAATGGAAAAGTGAAAAGATCAGACAAGATCTTATCCCTTGTACATCACAGAAAAAGAAGAATGACAACAGAGCAGTAACTGCATTGACTGATTTTATTGTTAAAAATATTAAGCTAAGGAGCCTCGAACTGCCGTCACAACAAACAGAGGCGTATCTCTCAAGTCCCAGAGAAGTTCGATCAGGGGCCGACTATGAAGACAGGACCTCGGCAGCACTCACCAGTCTCTGCACAGTGAGAAAAAATGTTATTAGTTTGCAAACATGCATATTATTCACTTCTTTTC